AATGTTGTCTACATACAGATTTTTGGCTATTTCTGTTGCAATTTCTGAGTTTTGGGAAGCCAAGTATGATGTTAAACACATGTTTAAAATACTTGGAGATGCTGTGACCCCAAAAGGCAGCCTTTTGAATCTGTAGTATAACAAATTTTCCTTTGTTGGTGGAAAATTGACGTTTTTTAGCCACAAAAACCTGCAGAGATCTTTGTTTGAGTTTACTAGATGAATTTGCGTGAATGCAGCCTCTATATCACACATTAAAATGATTTTGCTGCAGCGAGAACTCAACAAAACATCATGGATTTTGTTGACAAATGATTCGCCTTTATGTATCACGTCGTTTAATGAAGGTTTCTCTTTACGATATGAAGAAGCGTCAAAAACTATCCGCAAAGGCGTCTTTTTGTGTGCTTTCCATACGCCGGAATGAGGCATATAGTAGGTGCCAACCGCATTTTGTTCGGCTTCGAAAAATGGTTCGATAATACCATCTTTTTCGTAATTTTTGATGATTTTACAGTACCAGTAACATTGTTCACGGTTTGATTGCAGAGTTTTTTGAAGTGACTCCAGGCGGCGGATTGCCACCGTGTAATTATCCTCCAGTTGAACAATATTGTCTTTCAGTGGAAAAGGTGCAGTTATTCGACCATTTTCGTAACTGATTTTCTTGGAGTAATCTTCGAGGTACTTGTAAACTTTGTCGTCCTTTTGGCATTCTTGCGACGAAATTCCAAGTCCGTCTAATTCGAACATTTTTCGCAGGATTTCCTGCTCACTGTTTTCATGTAGTGCTGTAAGTCCGTAGCACACATCACTTTTGCCATTTGTAGCGTTTATGAGACCTTTTCCGTAAACTGTGGGTCCAAAAACTGTTTTGGTTATTTGTAAACCTGTTGGCGTTTTTATTGAGTTGATTGGACCTGTCACTAGCTCGTGGTAGTAATCCAATCCCACTAAAATGTGTGGAACTTGAAGTTCTCCTCTAAGTTTGGAATTAGCTAGACAAATGCTGTTTTCTTTCAAAAATGCGGTATCCTGTGAGCTCAAATTGACGCTAGGAAACCCATTTGTTATGACCGGTTTTGTCTGGATTTTGATGTTGAGCTCTTCGCCAAACGCGGTACTGACTCTAACATTTACAGTGTGGCTTTTGAAGCATTCAATATGCCCTTCGATTCCCGACATTGTGCAAATTTCGGTCGTTTCTTTTGGAAGTTCTAAGCGATCCGCTAAACCTTCCTCAATCACGGTTTTTTGGGCTCCAGAATCGAAGAAAAATAGTACTTTCTCGTATTCTTGCTTTTTGTGGTTCCATATGTTCCCTTCAGCAGTCATGAGAACAAGTTGTGATGCACTAGTACTCAACTCCGCATGTTGTGAGTTTTTTGTATCTGTGTGCGTGTTATTGTAAGCCATTCTATTTGTTTCGGCTTGATTTGTTGGGAACCGTTGATTACGATTCTGTTGATATGGCGGTCTTGGGTTATTTTGACCTGTATTTCGGCGATTACCATTCCAGTTTGAGTGATTTTGGGGTTTTTGTTGAGTTTCCCTTCTCAAACAGAGGCTGGAATGATGTTTTTGACCGCATATGGGGCAGTCAGATTTGTGACAGTCGAAACTGCTATGTCCAGATGAGTAACATTTCCAACACCGATTTTCGTCTTTTAGCATTTTTCGGCGCGTCTTTTGATCGGTAATCGTCCTGCACGATATCGCCGAGTGATTGTTTTTGTGGCAGAATATGCACTTATCGTTGGAGTAAGTTCGCTGATTGATAAACTTTTGCTTTGGCATGCCGGCCCTGTTGTTTACCGTATGGCCAAGTCTGTTCTCTACAAAACACTTGGCGGCAATCTCTTTCTTTAATTGCGCCAGAAGAGACCCGATTGTTTGTTTGTCAAACATTTGGCCAGATACGAGAACAGGCTTTACGACGTCTTGTGGGAACTTTGCCAAAATTGTTTCGTACCACATTGGGTCATAAGTATCTGTTACTTTGTACCCTGCAGAAATCATTTGGTTGACGAGAACTTGAATCTCGTCGAGGGTTGATGAACAGCTGTCACCAGTAGTGTTGGCGGGCTGCAAATTCACCAATTTTTGCACGATTTGTGACCTATTGGTCGGCTGATTGCAGTAATTCTGCTTTAGAGTTTCAATGATCCAGTTGTAATTTTCTGGAACGGGATTTATACCTTTTATGGCAATTTGGGCTCTGCCTTTGAGGCTTTCCTTGAGGTGTATGATTTTCTCCGCTACGGATATTTCGTTGCATTTGTGTACTAGCGTTTCGAAGGCCGCCCAGTACTCTGGAAATTCCTCTGGTTTACCGCTGAATTTAGGCAACGTTGCTTGAGGTGGTCTTATTGATCGGTAGCGGCTTGGCTCTGGATAGAAAATCTCAGAGGCCACTGAATTAGGAGGAGCCGCGGGTGAGTTGTCCGTTTCACCTTCGTTACTCGTTCCATTTTGTTCAGAATTTTCATTTTCAATCGTTAGAGTTTCTATTTCCTCCATAACGTTGTTTTCGTTTCTTGAATTTTGACTGACGTGCCCGAGTTTGATGTCCATTTTATCTTTTATGCACTCATTTTCGTCCAATCGGGCCGTCAGCATGAATATTAGGTCGGTTGATTCGGCTAGGGCCACTAGTAATTGTGACTCCTCCTGAATTTGCTCGATTTCAACCATCAGGTCTTTCCTGTCAGACCTGCTTTTGCAATTTTTGTACTCATCCCTAATTTCACTGAATAGGTTTTGTAGGTTTTCTCTGCCCTCTCTAAGCTGTCTGATGCCGCTTTGCAAAAGAGAAATAGTATCTTTACATTTCTCGTAGTTTTCCTCATCAAAAGTGGGATAACTGGTTTTTGTTGTGTACTCCTTATAGTTAGCAACTAAGTTCTTGAGTGTGTTAGCGCTAGACACAATAGGAGCTTTGTGAAATTGCAGAAGTGCCATTTTTTAGCAGTTCTGGACAAAAAGTTTGCTAATTCTCCGGTACTATGGTACGGGAATTTTCTCAGGGTGCTGAGCACTGGAGTATGTGTTTGCAGTATGTGCAAAGTCTCCAGGTACTGTGAGTACTGGAGTTGCTCCGGTGTAGGCACGGGAGTCTTGGTTTGCTCAGCGAGCTAGTCTCTCTCCAGGGGCCAAATGGAATCAACCAAGTGACGCGGGAGGAATAGGCTGTTTAGGCCGATGCACCAGAATATTGGGTATACTGTGCGAGACTCTTGGGTATTGTACCCGAGTAAACTTACTTTTGGTGGTTCAGTGGATTCTTCGAGGTAAACAGACAGTTGAGAGGGCGAGCGTTTATTGGGGCGGTTATCGCCAATGTAGAGTAACAACTGAAGGGGGGGGGGGGGCCAAAGCCACCAGAAACGATAACGGGGCCGCGCCCCGCCCCCCTAAGAAGACATCATCGTCGCCGATGATATGACCATGTTTGCATATTCTAGCGAAACATCTCTTTTCATTATCTACAAGTTACACTTTTGCAAGTTGTTACAATGTGACTGTGCTTCCACAAATATATGATTCCAGACGCAAATATTCCTCAAAGCTGCGCGTACAAAGCAAATGTTTGTTGATGACCCTTTGGTAAATGCGTTCCGCTCTCGACTTTGAGAGTCGTAGATTTGAAAGATGAGCTGGACAAACGTGGTTTGCCAAAGCTTGGAACAAATCTGTTCTTCTGGAACAGTTGAAGGAGGTGAATATATTGGTTTTGTTTTAGGTAAAAGTTTTTTTTCATGAACTTCATTTGCAGTATATTTGCGAAAACGAACTACAGAATCGCGTTGATAAACCTGAGTCGCAGAAGAAAAGTCCTCCGCTGAAAGTGGTACATTTTTTCTATTTATTTATTTAAACCTATTTCTGCTTATTTAGGCTTCTCCGGAAAATCCGCTGGTTGCAGCTTGCATTGTCCGACAAGCCGAAGCTTTAGAAAGACAAAGGAATGATGCGGGTGTTTTTCAGGGGAGACGGTCAAGAGGCGCGATTTTTTTGGCCACGCCCTTCGCTCATATTGCCTTCGTGCCCTAATCGCTACAGCCGCGTGTGCTCGGACGCGTTGCGGCTGTTAGGATCACTCAAATCTCGTGCGGTGAACTCGTCCAATACCTCACCGCATCAGGTCACGCCGGCGAGGACGGAAAGGACGCTGCTGACGTCACATGGAAGGTTTGCAAATCGATTCGAGGAAATTCTCGAATTTATCGTATCGAGGTGCGCTTTTTTTTCTTTTTCGTCATTTTTTCTCCTTTTTTCATTTGTATCAAATTCAACCTTGAGAACTGCTGGCTTAGGGGGTATTTTTCGTAGGAACATTGCTATCTTACCAAATTTACCTCTTTAGTCAGCTCTTTCTCGTTTTCTTTTCATTTTGAAGTTTTCATATGAATTTCCGTAACATTTGTTTGATGTTTTTTTGCTTATGTCTGTTTTTCATGTTTTTTTTGCCTGGGTCTCTGGAATTTGCCATACATTTCGTTTTACCATTGTTTTCGCACCCAATCGCTGGCTGAGGGAGTTCTTGCTAGCAAGTTCAATCTTTACTTCTTAGTCAGCTTTGAGTGTTTTTTATAGTTTGTCCGTTGTTATGCTCTTTTAACCTCCAGCATTTCCAATTTTTATGTTTCGTAAACTTTCAGCTAAACCTTCAAGTCCTGTTCCGTAATTTTTTCCTTTTTTAATCAACTTAGGACTCTTATTGCTCGAATCACTTGCTGGCCGGAAGAATTTTTTGCTAGGAAGTCTAATCTATGCTACCAACTTACCTTTTTGTTCAGCTCGGCTCGAGTACTATTCTTTTTGCATGTTTTGCTTTATGTTCATATGTTGTCTCTCTGGAACTTAACCCGGTCGACCATCAATCTCACACAAGAGAACTGTCCTCGCATATAGGTTAACTCGTTTTTTGAGGTGTGCATGCGTGGCACGCTTCGGTTGGCTATAAAAAAGACCGCAACGTAATTACACTTTTCAGACTAATGTCGCAACATCTCTTTGAACAGCTTACTCTCGTGAGTGCGTCAGCACTCACTAACTCTATTTTCAGCATTACTGAAGATCCGAGCTTGCCTCTGGAGGCGAGCCCGCAGACTCCTGCAGTGGGTGCGTCAGCATCCGTTATTTCTATTTCCAGGAGTGCTGGCGATTCAAGCTTGCCTCTGGAGGCAAGCACGGACCCTTCCGCGGGCGCTTCGGCACCCGTTAATTCTACTTTCAGGAATGAAGAAGAAACAGTGCAAGCCACTGTTTATCGTGGGACGAGAGAGCTAAGCCAGCGAAAGACGAAGGAGGTACTCATCTACAGGCCGAATACGAGAGCGCGTACACATTCTCACTCGCGCGGAGGAATAAAAACTGGGATGTGTACACCTGCGCTCTCTGTAAAAAAGGGGGATCGTGGAGGACGATCAAAGTATGTTCTTAAACAACGTGTGCACGAACCTTCTTGTTTATTTCACATGGTTGTGATTTCTTATAGGTGATCGGCGACGAATTCTTGAGCAATCCCTGCAGTATTGCTCACATGTGTACACCTGTGCCCTATGCCAAGGATAAAGGCAACAGGCTGGCATATGAGTTAATTGATCAACATTGCAAATGACAGTTGATGATCCAACTACTATTAAAAATTGATGAGTTGAAGTAAACGAACATCACGTAAAAAAATGAGTATTTATCGACATTTATCTTAAATATTATGAATGTGTTTACATATTCAGGTGGTCCGTGACATCAAGAGCAACCAGTTATATGCTGGGCGATGTCCACGGCAGGTGTATGAGGAGGCTCTATCAAAGACAGATGAGCTATACGATGGTGAGAATATTCATATTAGTCATTCAAACATTTGCTTTTTAAAATTTCATCATTTGAGTCTTTGAGAAGATTTATAAGTATCAGAGTACTTCAGAAGACGTGGTGATGGCCTTCTACGGCGAGGGATACAGCCAGCGTCGACAAACGATCTTTAGAGTAAGTTGCTTTAGAGCTTTATTCTGCTAATTAACATATTCTAGGGCCATCAACACTTTCAAGGATAGGGAAATGACGCTCCAGAACATCCCGGACGACCTGGTCTTCCTACAAGACGGGACTAGGTTCGTCCACGTAATGGAACCACAGCTGCACATATATTATTCTGAAAAGACCATACAGGTACGACTTTTGTAAATAGCAGTGACACCGTTCTCTAAATGTTCTATCCTATCTATAGAAGGCTTGTGCAAATGGCCTCTTTGCTGTGGTTGCTGATGGAGTGCACTCGAAGCAACCGAAGAACCTGGCGCAGCTCTACTGCGTTCATGTAGTCTGCGCCGGTGGTGTGGAAGTGCCCCTCCTGTACGCCCTAACTGCACGTAAACACGAGGCAACGTACAGGAGGATATTCACGTGTCTCCAGAACAACTTTGAGCTTTTTCGACCAAGGCCAATGCAGCGCCTCAGAGTTGTTCTGGATTTCGAACATGCTGCCATCAATGCAGCTTACAGCGTTTTCCCAGACGCTGTAGTCCAGGGCTGTTCGTTCCACTTATCACAGTCCTGGAACAGGTAAGGTAATCACCAAAAAATGTTTTAGTGTCTAACAAGCATAACGTTACAGAAAACGGGATAGCTGCAGGATAACCCGTTTCATAAGGGGGCCTGGAAGAGATGGCGTTGTAGAAGAATGGTGGGACACTATCAAAGGTGTCATATTTCTACCCAAAGGGCTGCGCTCTGAATTCAGAGCCCTACGGTAAGTGGGATATAAATACAGGGAAACAAGAAAATATGAGCTTTATCTTACAGTGCCCCACCCGTCTCGAGCGAACACCCAGCATATGGCAGCTGCTGGGATTTCCTAAAATATCTGATCAGTACTTGGTTGACTGGTCCATTCGAGGATCTGTGGTGCAAATGGGGGATCACAGACCTCCGCACCACAAATTTAGCTGAGGCTTTTCATAAGTAAGTCTTAGTAAACTTTTTATAAAAAACAAGCTGGCAAACCCGGCTCCGCCCGGTCCTGTCAATAATACATTCGAATCAGCATGTTCACTTACCCCCTTTCCACCCTGCACAACCTGCACAATCTACACAACCTGCACAATCTACACAACCTGCACAATCTACACAACTTGCACAACCTGCACAACCTGCACAACTTGCACAACCTGCACAACCTGCACAACCTGCACAGCCTGCACAACCTGCACAATCTGCACAACCTGCACACCCTGCACCCGAATGTGCACAAACACACAAACTCACAGAGTTTCTGCTTTATATAAATAGAGATGATGCGTTGTATTTCAGTAAACTGAACGCCACCTTAACGGGTGATCACCCCGACATGCGCGCGCTACTGGAAAAGCTGCGCACGCTTGATCTGGAAGCTAAGTGCAATTTACGATGGAGTGAGATGGTAAGAAAAAAATTATTACTTCACGAACTTGTGATAGAGAGAAGTCCTTGCAGAATCCTGGCGTCGACAAAAGGATTCGAAGAAGAGATTTGGAAAGAAGACAAAGTGTGGAGGAAAGTATGGCAAGGTAAGCAGTCCGTAAACATAGGTTTCATAGAAACCAAATATTCAGATTTGACGCCGCTTACCGAGCCGGAGCAACGGTGGCTCAAATTGAGAAGTTTTGCCGAGACATGTCTCGGTTTATCTCAGGGAAAACCGCATGATTGATTTGTAGTTGTTATTTTTACACCAGTGCGTCACCTCTGCTTCGCAGAGGTTCGCACTGGCTCTACTATCCATGTGCCTTACTCATTCTCGTAAAATCGTGGCACTGGAACTCACCGCGCTATGCCGACTACCACGAATAAAATGTAAACAACCACTCATTTAGAAAGTCTTTTCACGTGAGATCGGTGATTTCGAGTGCATGAAACTTTTCGCAGGAAGACAAACGCAAATTTGAATAGGTTTTTGGATTTGTCATGGCTTGGTAGTCGCCATAAAGGTAATGATAACCGTGAGCTACATCTCTGTGCGAAAATCTTCTCAAACGCTTGGCTAGAACCTTGGCAAGTTGACCATTTACACAACCAATTCATTTTGGCGCCGTTTTCGTTATGTAGTAAACTTTCGACCACTTTTCTGGCTAAACTCCATCGCTTGCACATTTCCTTACCAAACTCATCCACGACTCTGCAAAAAGTGGTGATACAGACCGAATTTTGCGGTACAGAAGCCAGGTGGACCCGTTTGGCGCGCAGTTTTTAACGGATCCACTCGACGGATTTGCTCGCGCTTTTGTAAATTGGACTTTCATGCTGCTAGCATGCGCCGTGCAAAATTTGGGCTCAGGAGGTTGGCTGGCACATGTTCTACGAATTTCGTAACGGACAGACACACAGACACACAGACACACAAAAAGACGTAAACAACCCTTAGCCCGTTATTATAAGTCATGATTCTGTTGATTTGTTTGATTTGTAGTCGTTATTTGTACATGTTGTTGATTTGTTTTGTTTTATTATGTAACATTTCATGTATCTTGCTATAGGGGATGAGTTGTGGATGGACGGGAGATATGAGGGAGGAAGGGAGGATGGACGGGGTGAGGTGTGGATGGAGGTTGGAAGGAGAGGGGATGTGAGGGAGGAAGGGAGGATGGACGGGGTGAGGTGTGGATGGACGGTGGAAGGACTGGGTGAGGTGTGGATGGAGGTAGCAAGGACTGAGTGAGGTGTGGATGGAGGTAGGAAGGACTGGGTGAGGTGTGGATGGACGGGAGATATGAGGGAGGAAGGGAGGATGGACGGGGTGAGGTGTGGATGGAGGGTGGAAGGAGAAGGGATGTGAGGGAGGAAGGGAGGATGGACGGGGTGAGGTGTGGATGGAGGGTGGAAGGACTGGGTGAGGTGTGGGTGGATGGACGGGAGATGTGAGGATCGAAGATGTCAAAGTATAGGAAGCGACAGAGTACAAGGAGAGAAAGGGTGGAGGCGGGTGGGCGAAAGATGAAAAAAGAATCACATTAGAATTGAAAGTAGAATGTAAATGCAGCCGTGATATGGACGGAGGAGGGAGTGGATGGGTGGGTGATATGAATTATGGACGAACGGTGGAGAGATGAGGGTGGATGGGGAAGAGATGTGGCTGGACAGGGGAGAGATATGGATGGGGGAGAAATGTGGATGGATATGGAGGGTAGAGGCGGGTGGGCGAAAGATGAAGAAAGAATTCCGTCAAGACTGAAAGTAGAATGTAAATGCAACAGTAAAAGAGTTATACGGGCAAGGGCTGGTGGGGGAGAGACGGATGGAGAGGGAAGATTTGCTAGTGTGGTAAAAAAAGCTCAAATTAGCCCCGCCATCAGCGATATAGAGAGCAAGATGCAACGAATAGATACTTTCAACAATAACGTGTTATAGTCAATAAATAGAATGTCTACGATAAATATGTAATGATTAGAACACAGTACCAAGTAGATTTTGTAAAATATGTAAAATAAAAATTGTTACATAAAGACTGTGACAGCAAAAGCACCAAAGAAACTTACTTAAAAGTTTGTAATGGGATACTGAGAATGAGAGAACTTCCTCTACAAGCTGAGTGGTTCACATGTTCACCGAAATGTAACAACACACAGCAGCAAAGGACAGTTCAATCGAATCTAATCAATCCAATCAATAATAAAAAAAACTTACTTTTGTACACAGCCAATGGGCCAGCAGCTTCATGAGTATATGAAGCAATCTGAAAGACATCAGGACTCATGAATATCAAAGAATCTAAACATGATGAAACAAAGAAAAGATTAACTCAAAAGAGGAAGAAAGGACGAAAAACTCACTTGAGCGCACCAACTCAGACAATCGCAGGCGGGCACCGGAAAAATAGATTGCTGATCTCTCGCACCCCGCTCGCGGATTTTTTGGAAAGCAATCAGGACTTTTTGGAAGACCGCTTGCTGAGTTCTCGATTCCTCAGAGATTCAGCAATATATCTGCAAAAGATAAGAGCGAAAAAAAATTCAACAGGCGGTCTCTTAAAAATCCGCTGACTCAGCAAGCGGCCTTCCGAAAAGTCCTGATTGCTTTGCAAAAAATCCGTGAGCGGGGTGCGAGAAATCAGCAATCTACTTTTCCGGTGCCCGCCTGCCCCAGCGATTGTCTGAGAAGGCTGGAGAAATGATCCAATCCTTGACATAGTGGCAATATCGTCGTCGATCTAGCGTAGAAAAAAATATTTTTGGTGTGCTATGTGCACCCGCGACAAACGCGCGGTCAATTCCAGAAAGTTCGGGAACTAGCAAAAGCGACCGATTTGCTGATCGACGCCGATCAGATGATCACAACTGTTGACAAAACATAAAAAGGTAACACAGGCTATTATACAAATAGCTCCCTTCAGCCAGCAAATGAGATGAAAGCAAATAAAACAATAACACGAGTAGAAAATAAAAGAAAGTTGCAAAGAATATAACAAAACTCACCTCGCTTGACAACGAAAGAATAAATCATAAAAAAACATATGTAAGCAATGCAAGTAATAAAAAAACCTGCGTGAAAATGACAGAGAAATAGCGAACTAAGATTTAGGAGAGATATATGCAGAAAAAGCAAAAGAAAATGCTGACTAAAAAGGTAAATTTGGTACGATACCAATATTCCTACGAAAAGTACCCCATAAGCCAGCAATTTCTAAATTTGAATCTGCTACAAATGAAAAAAGAAGAAAAAATGATGAAAAACAAAAAAAAGCGCACCTCGATACGATAATTTTGAGAATTTCCTCGAATCGATTCGCAAAGTGAAGTGAGCGCGACGTCGCTCTCCAGGTCAACGCGGTGAGATGAATGATGCCAGGGACGAGTTACTCGGCCAACTCTGGCAACCGCAACGCGCTCCTCACGCGTAATTATTGTCATTGGGGCGGTTTGTATTGGAGCACGTTATCCAAATCGCTCCTCTTGACATACACCCGTTTTTCAGCACCGCGTATCTCTTTCTGTCTTTATTTTCTCCTCTTTTTCACTTGCTGGTTTCTACGCGTCTACCCTCATCTGTTTTATTCTTTCATCCAACGCTAGCTTTTAGATATGGTTAACTTATCTGAGAACGAGTCCGCATCACACTCAATCTTTCTGTGGCTCGAACAATTTCAAATCATGCTTTTGCTCCCAGTTTTGAATCATGCCTCTGCCCCCAGTTTTAAAACATGCTTGTGCTCCATCAGCAATGTTTTCAATGATCTCCCTGCAAGAAATGTAGATTCATCCTTTTTTGCTGGTGACTTTTGGTTACATTTACTTGAATTTTTGAGCGATATATTTAAGATTCCATCATCAAGACTTAATTTCACTAGATGTTGCACCGACTTCATTTCAGTGTAATGAATGAAAAAATTGAGAATATAACCACTAGCTTTAATCACTTATGACCGCTGTCAGCTAAATTTCAAAGCCTAAGTGGAGTTTCCGTTCTTTGCTCGAGTTCTTGCATAACCGCACATTCATTTTAAATCATCATAATAAAGCTCGCTTCTTTAACCTAGTGCAATCGGTTCTGGTATTCACCATGCTCTCTCTTGGCCTAAATGAGGTGTCTGGTAATGTCACTGCAGCTCAAAAACCTTTTATTCGTAGATGATTTAGTGTAGTCAGTCTGACTTTGGACAGGTAACTCACTCCGACTACATATTACTTGATGGTTAAAGTACTGTTCTTCAAGATCGGTTTCCTCGTATAGCACACTTTTTCATCTCTTCTTACTGAGGCGTTCTTTCTTCCTCAGTAGTTTGAACATAATATCGGCGAATAATATGTCTAGCGAAATTAGAAAATGATCAGACTCGTATAGCTATAGAGAACAAGTCGGAACATGTTAGCTGAGGGCTGTTAGCATGATTTTGTTTTTATCGCATAATAAATCATGGGAAAAGGCTAAGGGAATATTTAGCACCTAAGCATTTTTTAGCACCTATTTAGCACCGTAGCATGATAAGTGGAGCAGTTTGTAATCTTTCAATATGTTGCACTCGGTCTTGGGAATTGGCAGACCTTCATCACTCTAAAACCTGCATTCAAGAAAGGGTTAATTCTGCTCCTATCTTCTACTTTTAAGTTGCTATCATTGCTGCCCTGTTTGGGTTATCTGAAATGTTTACATTGCTGATTGAGTAGTCTTCCAAAAACTTTTTTCCAGATGCTTCAGTTTTCCGTGTGATGTATTTGGTCAGCGCAGTTTTGAAGATGTGCTGTTGTCCTAGCTGTGACCATGTACTGGTCCACGCTTGATGGTGGTGGTTGGACTTAGCCGAAAATGACGACGCTCGCGAAAAATTATTCCACGTCCTCTCAGAGAAAAGAGTAACATGGAGCGGTAAAGCGAGGATAGCAATTGGGAGAGCTTTGTGAGTTTTCTCATAAAGAAAGCGATACTTCTGAACTATAATTTTGCAGGGAAGACATTCGGAGGTATCATTTTGACCCTGATAGGTCCATGCTGCTTCCATCAAAGGTGATTCATTTGTTTTATGCGATCCTGGTAACAATAATTTTTTATTTTCAGAAAAAGCGCGTCATGGTCGAAGGCAGCAGTGTTACCAAAGAAGACCTAACGATCCAGAAGACTGAAACGTTGAAGATGAAGTTGAATTAGTCGTAGAAAATTAATGCTGTTGTCATTCTTAATCGTACTTCTTTCGTAAGCTTGTGTCGCGGTTGCGGTGC